AAACAAAACAAAACAAAACAAAACAAAACAAAACAAAACAAAACAAAGAAAGAAAGAAAGAAAGAAAGAAAGAAAGAAAGAAAGAAAGGAAGGAAGAAAGGAAGGAAGGACAGATGGACAGACAGACAGACAGACAGACAGGAGCACGCCCTGTGCACATACCCGCACCCCCCACCCCAACCAATCCTAAAAGAGTCTCTCAAGATGGGTGTGATGAGTCTTGAAATCTCAGACTGCTAGAATTTGAGACAAGAGGATCACTGGAAATTCAAGGCCAGCTTAAGCTACAATGAAAGTATTTCTCAAAAACAGACATAGAACAAACAATGACTTCTAACAGAAACAAAACAAGACAAAAAAACACTTACCAGATCCCTCATCTGTACCGTTCTGAGCAGCTTCCCAAACTACCAACTTTGTCCCACAGCCATCTGTAGACATGGACTCTGAATAGTCTGCAGGATTGAACGTCCTGGGAAGGGGTTGAAGTAAAGAAACAAGCGACTAAAGCAAGCATCAAAATTACAAAATAACTGTATAAAATATATCAAACTTTCCCAGCATTGGGGAGGCAGAGGCAGGCAGATCTCTGAGAGTCCAGGCCAGTTGGGTCCATATAGCAAGCATCAAGACAGCCAAAGCTACATAAACAGACTCTGTTTCTTTAAAAAAAAAAAAAAAAAAAAAAAGAAAAGAAAAGAAAAAAGAAAATATTCAAAACCAAATAAGCTCAAGTCCCTTCAAAGAGCTATTATGAAAGATTTCTCCCTCCTCATATTGGATAATAGCCAACTCCTTAAGCCACTGTGATGTAGGTATTTTTTAAACACTTTTTGCACCTATAATGAAGATCATTTTTTGTCTGGGTTATTCTGTTTTAAGACATGATCTTTCAATGTAGCCCTGGCTGTATTCGAACTGAATGTGTAAGCTAGGAGTGGCCTTAAACTTACAGAGATCTGCCTACCCTCTCTCCCCAAATGCTGGGCTTAAAGGCTTGTGACACCCTGACCAGCCTCATACAAAACTGTTTTACTTAGTGTGGATGCTCACATGTGCTACAGCACAGTTTCCTTCTACACCTAAAGGTCCCAGGGACAGAACTTAAGTCTTAGCAAGAAGGACCTTTAAAAACCACTAGGCCCAATAATTTGTTTTTTTCAGACCAGGTATCACAATGTAGCACTGTAGAGCCTCAACTCACATAAATATGCCTGCCTCTACTTCCCACATACTAAGATTAAAGACATGAGCCTTATCATTCTTGAAGACAGGGTATGTTTCATGTATCAAAGGCTGCCTGTAAACTATGTAACTAATGATGACCTTGAACTTCTGATACTGTAACTGGACCCCAGACCTTAACACACAAGGGAAACCATGATGGAAGGACCATTCAGGCCTTGAACCCAACACACAGGCAGCACCACCTGTCAAAAGGAGAACAAAGACCTAGTCCATTTTGCTTTGGGGCAAGTCCCTAAAATATACTGACCTTGCTCTTTGGCTTCTGTAGCTCCACTTCTGGCTAACTGAAGTGTGTCAACCCAGGAATGTAGGTTTTGTGATTAAAAGCCCATTCTGAGAAATACTTAGGGCTTCAACTCTGTCTCAAATACCTAGAGTAGTTACTAATAAAAGTTTCTGTTGGCTTGAACTGTGTCCGAGTGGTCTTCTCTAGTGGGTATCTAATAACAATACTCCTGTACCATTATGCCCATTTTTATGGTGTGCTGGGGATTGAACTTTTTGCCTGCGCTAGGGAGGCACTCTATCGACTACATCTCACGCTCACGTATCTTCCACAAAAGTTACTTTAGGATCATCTACCCACTCTCGTATAAATGGCCTTCAAGTTTCTACAATATGGTCTTTGGCATCCTAAGAAATTATGAAGACCTGGAAGCCTTTCCAGCCTAGAAAGAATACCATTGAAAAATTCCAATGAAGGGACTGAAGAGAAGGTTCAAAGTGGTTAAGAGCATTTGTTGGACTTGCAGGACTTGGAGGCAGGTTCCGTACCCAGCACGCACTTGAAAGCACAAAATGGCCCAGCCTTTACTACTACCACTCGGGACAAAAGCCATCATTTTTACATAAACATTTCATGTAGAACAGCAAGATTTAGCGGCATCTGTGCAGAGGCTTTCAACTAGGCAACCGAGGAAATTACGCACACATGCCCATTCCCTAGGGAACATTTGGTGTCTGCAGACATTTTAGTAGCTTCAGAGGGTGTTATATTAGAAGAGAAGGATGATGTCACTGTGCAGCACACCTACCACACCAATAAAGTTATCCAAACAAACTGCCAGCAGTGCAGAGGCTTCAACCCTGACTTAGCATCTATTGCAACAACAACACTATTTTTATTACTGTTAGAAAACCCTTCAGAAGTACAATAACCTCTAATTGGGATAAATTATAGACAGGTCAGAGACAGATAAACTACAACAACTAGGAATAGGATGGCTGTGACTTACCCCATGCTTTGAG